CAATCACATCTTTCTCCATGTGTATATATATATATATATATACATGTGAAGATTAAATTTTATAAAATTAAATAATATTCTATTTTTAAATATTAAACAATTTAAAAAATAATTTTGAATATTCAACAATTAGAAAAAAAATAATTTGTATGTTAATTTTAAAAGAGAAGAGAGGAATGTAAGAAAAATTCAACAATTTACTTTTTTATGAAAAAATTTGAAATTATACAATTTTAAAGAATTTCAAAAATATTCAAATTTTAAATTATTTACAAAATTCTTCATCCAAACAAAATATTTTATCCAAAACATTTGAAATTCTTAAAACAAAAATTAAATTTCTTCATTAAAATCCTTCATTTAAACTCATTCTAAATCATCTACTAGCCTCGTTAATTAGTTTGTAATCAAGAATATTAAACCGTTATCATCTTCCTTAAAAGAGGAAAAAAAATCTTAATAACGGAAACAAATCTATTGCTCGATGATCATAATGATTTCGTTGAGAGAAAAATAAATGAAAAAACAAGGAAAACTTGATCGTAGCAAAAAGATCTAGAGGCTTTCCTGTATGTGACAAACTTGATAATAATGTTCCCCTTTCCATTTGGTACACACATAAACAACATTTTAAAACAGACAAGAAAAAAAATATATAGACAAAATTTAATTACTGCTATGAAATGAGACACAAAAGCATAAAAATAATAATGAAAATTAAAAGCATCCAAAGGCCTTCTTTGGAGTGGTTCCAGTTGCACGGTATTTTGCAGCCGTTTCCTCTGCCTTGAGAATTTCTTCACCACGCTTGGCTTCAACCATTGCTCTCTTCTCCTCTGCTTGCTTGTGAACTAAGGCTATTTTGTTCTTCATTTTTTCACCATATTCAGCTTTCTTTTTCTCTAGTTGTTCCTGCAAAAGTTTAATGTAACACAAATGTTTATGTCATTCTCAACCTACTTCATTCAATATACATGTAACAGTAAAATCTGTTCTTAAATCTTCTTCACAGTATATTTTTTAAGTTCAATTCTATTATTTGATATAATGAATTTAATTACAACATACTCATCGCTGTAAAGAATTTTTACACTATCATATCATCATGTAAAAAAATTACTAACTTTTATAATAATTACTTCAGTGATATTTAGAATATTTTTAAATTGTTTAATAATGTAAAAAAATTTAAACTGACCAGCTATATCAAAATTAAACTCGTAAAGAAATTGACAATGTATATATCATCATTATTTCCATGTCATTTATTTTTTTCTCTCAAAAATACACTCCAAAGGAAAAGAGAGAACTTTTGATGTCCAATGTTTGTGTTAAGAAAAGAGGGTCGCTCCGAGGAGAAGCCATGTTTAATTTCTGTTGTCAAATTTGGAGTTTTTTGATACACCATATGATAGAAAGAGATAGCTCACCTTACATGGATATGGCCACCAAATTCTATCTATAAAAAAGTATTAGCTTTAGTACATTACAGACTGTAGTGGCTTATTTCATTGATAAAAGCATTAATCTTTAAGAAGATGGATTCAATTAGGGATGCTTAGGTATTTGATTCCATTTTGACAAAAGCAAGACAGTAATTGGATAAAGGTTCCACCTGTCTGTTAAATGTGACACAAGAGTGAAGGAAAAGGATAATTTGTTGGATAAAAAACTCACTCTATATCATCCCATGTAACGAAAGACAACATAAATTCTTACTTTTTTTTTTGTCTTATCTTGATTATGTTGGTTAGAATAAGAGCTTTAAAAAGGATGTGCAATGCAAACAAACATCATGATATCTTGAATATTAGACTCGTGCATTCCACATACTCGGACTTGGGCGAATCGCAAAAGTCTTCCAAGAACAACTCCTCTCTCGCCACTAGCCATCTCACAAAAGCTGAAGCAGAAAAACAACAGCACGAGTTTGCGCAATTTCAGCAGCAACAGTAAGAGAGAAACTATAAACCGAACTCAACGAAGAAACCATAAATAAAAGGCAAAAATGAAGGCATTAATCAGTTTTGCAGAAAGATGGATAAAAAATGAAAAACAAAAAAAAAAAAAAAAAAAAAAAAAAGGAAAAGCTTCGTGTAAGTATTTGAAAAACATATGAGAAAGAGAAAAAGACTGACACGAAGGAGGGTAACTAGCGGCATTTTGAAACCAAAGTTCGGCTTCATGAGCTTCTGCAGTTGTCCCTTAATTCCAACAAAAACAAATTCAATAAAATCATAAGTGAATGATTGCGTCCTACAAATTTTAGATTGAAATAAAAGAAACACAAACGACAAAACAACTAAGCTATCATGTAAAGGATGTAATTGTAAAAGTTGAATTTTGACGGCAACCCATGATTCATAGAAGACAAAAGTTCGACAATTCAAACACGAAACAGCAAAAACTCACTCTCACTCTCCACAACAGCAAGAGCTTTGGATTCCTCTGCCGCTGCCGGAGCAGGCGGTGGTGGCGCCGCCACCACTTTTTTCTCAGCGGCGTCAAGCAGCGGTGGCGGAGCTGGAAGCGAACCGGGTTCAGCCTTGGTCTGGAGGTCTGCCATAAGCTCGGAGTTTGGTTGGGTTGATAGATAGACAGTCACGTGTTTATCTGAAAACAACGTCGTTTGTAGCAACGTTCCGATAAACAAGCTGTGAAGTGCCTTCCAATTTAAAGTGCCACGAAATCCAAACCGATAAATAGTGAAATTACTGCATCATCATCCATCATACACGTACCATCTGTCATATTAGTATATATGTCTATATCACACATAATTAAATTCTTAGTAAATAATTCTTTAATTAAGGCAAGTATTCTCCAAGTTAAATCAATTTAAAATTGGTGACATAATAAATTAATTAACAAAAAGTGTAGCTTGTAAGCCTAATTTGATTCTTTAGATAATAATAATATATATATTATATGACCGACTGATGCATAATTGCACGAGTATAGTTTAGACTTTAGCGGTTACGTGAACACCGGTAGCGTGGAATCCGTGTGTTTGCAGCGTTGTGCATAGGAGTCGTTGATTGATGGAGTGATTTGATCGTAGGGTGGAGGTTAAGTGCCCCCAATATTGGGTACCAAAAGCCCAAAGGCCCATGAAGCCCAAAACTAGGCCCAACTAGCCTAAAACCTAAAATGCTACTCTATGTGGTCCAAAATACAAGACCAAAATATATGATACCTATACTAACATGATGTATACAAAACATATGAAGATAGCTATAACAAACTATGGCCCATGAAAAGTTCAACTTGGGCCTTCCCAGGCCCATAAGGCCCATTGGGCCCTGGATGGCCCAAACCTTCATGTCTAGCCAACTCCTCTTGGATCTTTGAGTATGTCACCTCTTGCACTCCAAAGCATGATTCCATCATTTTAGGCTTCTGCTATGGCATGAAATATATCCTTTGTAATTGTTGTCAGTAGTAATATTTGAAAGTTGAAGCTAAAGGCCTCTGTTTTGTCTATTGTCTTTCCATTATAATATGATATGCCATTCATTTTTAATATTTTGGTTACATTTCCGCTACCTTATGTTCTTAATAATTTAGTTTAAAATTTTTCATATTTAATTATTAAAGTTGATTATGTACTAGTGAACTTTACGTCCGGGTTGGAGGGCCGTGACTTTAATTTAAATAAAAATTTAAGATAAAATAATTGGAGTAAATTATGCAATTTTAATAATATTTTAGGTATAACCAAGTTTTTTATTCAATGATTATAAAACTTATCTCGAGATATGTGAAGTCCATCTAATGTTAAGTCACGTTCTGTTAGTAAATATTAGTCTCTAATTGTCTGTTCAAAAAAATTATATGTATTAAATGACTATGTTTTTCTTTAATTTTTTAATCGTATGATTGATTATTAAATAGTTATGTTGTGGCAACTATTTTTAGTTTAATTTAATTATTTATTGAATTGTAAAATTTACCATGTCATTCTTGTAATCAATGACAACCAGAAGCATACAATTTTCCATTTTTTTTTATCTCAGTCTTTAATGCTTATCTTCTTTGATTATTTTAAAATAAGCTTTAAATACTATTTTCTTTTAACAATTTCATTTATTTTAGTTTCTTTAAATTATAGGAATTTTTAGTTCCTATATATTCTTTTATTATTATTATTATTATTATTTAAATATCTTTTGGTTCTTAGTTTCTATACATACTTTTTTCATTTTTCGTCTTCATCGTTTATTTTATTCATTAATGCCTATTATAGTGGGTGACTAATTACTTCAAAGTAACATCTTTGAAGTCAAATTTTTTCAATTTGTTAAAATTATCTTATTACAAATTTTACTGTCTAATTAAAATGAATTTGTACTTAGTTTCAAACCCAAGATTGGACGATAATTACAAAGTTTTGGTTGTTCCTTTCCTGTATCGAGTGACATTGTTGAAGGCAAAGATGCTAACAATTTGAATCTATAGAAAGTTTGGGTTGTGATTAAGATGAACACGAGTCATTTTTCTTTGATGGTTACTTATTGCACATGTAGAGGGAGATGAGACTTTATAATTAAAGATTTGGAAATTTCTAGAAAAATTTACTAAGGTGTTCTCATAATAAGGTAATGCAATTTGGATTTCTAGCTAATTGATTTTATGTTTAATTGTAGTTGTATTTTAATTTTTGTTACATTTGTCCATTTGGATTCTTGCTGCAAGAAGTATGGAGTTGTAGGGAACTTTAGATAAGTGGATGAGACAACTTCTGAACATATTTTTTTGAATTTTAACCAAGTACAATGAGTATTTTTTGATACATAGAAGTACTTTTTGTGTATATATTGAGATTGTTCCCAAAGGATTGGTGTGTCATGTATAGTGTTGCAATCCCTAAACTTCCATCTATTGTATTGAAACTTCTCTCACAATCATATATTGTTTTCTTGTTGTGAGATAAATTGGAGCAATATTCCTTTATCAATTCTATAAAAAGAAATAGGCTCAATCCTAAGAGAGTTGAAGATTTAATTTTTATACATACATATTTTCTTAATAAAGAGTAAGAGTTATAACACTACAAAAAATGTTACATATAGTCACATACAAAAAGATCATTATAGATATAATATATAAATATAAATATAGTTGATATATATTTACAAATAATTGCAGTACGTATTGATTTTAAATAGAATTTGATAACATATATTATGTGTTATTATAACCTATTTCTATATTTTTTAATAATATATTAACATATTATTTTATAATGTAAATAAAAGTATCTTTTAGTAACAAATACTGTATGATTATAGGGTATGTAACTATAGAACAATTTTTTTTAGTGTAAGAGCAAAATGTGAAATATTGAAAAAGATGCATGAGTTTACTCCATAGAAAAAACTAAATGTTCTTTTAGACAACTTTTATATATACTTTTTGATAAATTCTAAATACAAGCAAATCCAATCCAAATAAAATGTAAAATAACATAATGAAATTTATTGAGTAAAAGCTCAAGCCACTACGTACATTTGAATCTAACAATAGAACTGGGGAAATCAGAAAACTGTGTGGAAATAAAAACAATAAGAACTCCTAAAACTAGAACACGAAATTATTGCTCTAAGAAAACAATAGCTTGGTCTCTTAACCAATTATTTAGCCATATAACAGGTGAAATAGGAACAATTGATAGGTCGTGCACCCTTACTCCTTCACTAATATTATAGCGACATCTCTGACCATCATCCAAGATATTAATTTCAAGAACTTGAAGCTTAGGACACTTGGCAGGTAATTCCATAATAAAGGGATCATCTTTTGTGACAAAAAGTTGTAACTCAACCAAATTCTCAAATAATGGAAGATCAAAAGTAGAAGGATTAACATCCCTAGAATATTTCAAAGAGAGAAATTCAACAGAATGTATTCTTTTGAGAAGGTAGGAAACAGCCTGCATCATATAGTTATGCACTGTCACATAAACCTTGGCTTTCTCAGGTTTTAACCAACCACAATTCTGCATTGAGTCTGACATAAAATCATAATCATAATGCATGACTTCGTCATAAAGCCAATTTTGATGGTAGAGTCGGAGATATCGATAGTTACGCACAGCCTTCAACTGTAAAAAATAATCCTTAGTAAAATTATGCTTCATGTAGATCAGTTCAACAGATGGAGAACTAGAGATAATCTTTCTAACATTTTTCATGGCGAAACGTTCGCAAACTTTTAAACGCAGAGTCTTGAGATTAGGGAGATAAAAAGAAGAAGGAATGGTGATTTAAAAGGGAAAATTAATATTCACGTTGAAAATTGTGGTGCATGTGAACAAGGCATCCACGTTGATTTTGCTTATATGGCACCTGAATAAGGAGATATTCACTTGTTCAACTTTTCTTATTGCGACTTCTAAAATCCATTGTTCCACATAATGCGAGCAACACTCATGATCGCTATCGCATTTGAGACGAAAGCTTGTGATGGTATGCATTCTGCGTAGAGCCAAGAACACCTTGAGACTCTTGTAGTGTTCCATGATTGGTTTGGCACACCCAATGTGAAGAGATGGAACCATGGTCCATAAAAATCTCCATCTTTTAGACAACAGTGATGTAGCAATGGCTTCCTTGGTCGAAAGGAAGGAAAGGATGTGACACAGAAGCTCGTCCAGTAACGCCTCAATCGTCATCGTGTCACTGACCAGATCAAGTGTAGGGTTTGTGTGCAATTAGTTGTACTTGAATGAAGAATCTGTTTGTGAAGATTATTTATTTATTTATTTATTTTTATCGTTAGGAAATACTATTTATCTGTGTGTGGAAGATAAATAGTAGAAAGTGATGACTTTGAATTTGAATTTCGTTAAAAGATAAAAACCTATAAACTCTCACCAGATAGTATTTGATATATAAAAAGTAGATTTAAAATTTATATAAATAAATATTTTAAATATATATATATATATATAATAGTTTAAATTTATAATAAATAACTTATATTGTGGTGTAGGATATTATTTTAAATTTATTTTAAAATTTATAAATCAACATCTTATATATTAAATATGAATATTTATTTTGTGTGAAAATATTTGAAGTTTTTTTTTGACAATTGTTACCGTTTAGGGTTTAGACTTTGCCTTTGTATTCAGTTAGCATATTTCTGAATAATTGGTCAAGAGACCAAGTTTTTAGAGATATTATTGAGGAGTTTTATGTGAAGTTTTCTGTTTTAAGAGCAATAATTTTAGGAGTTTCGGTGTTATATCCGGTTATATTTCCTACATTGTCCTTCTATTTTTTGCCCGGCAATATATAACATTTCTATTATTTTTCTGTCTTATTCCTTTGCATATAGCAACAGTCATATATTTTCAGAATGTTCTTAATTAATGCTTTTGTTTTCACCTAGTAATTTATATTTGATTTAGATTGAATTTTACATGTAATTAGAATTTATCTAAAATATATATACAACTTGTCCAATAAAGTGTGTGGTCCATTCTTTGATCACAACAAAAGTACAATTCTATATAGAGATTTCTACATCGATTCACTAATAATCAATATAAAACTTGAACCGGTGGCAGTTTTGTAATAAAATGTGAAAGTTTTACATTAATAAACATTATAACCGACTTAAAATATGAAAGTAAGGCCATACTACATTAATGTTAATTATAACTGACATACTATTGTTATCTATTATTTTCCACTCAGTCTCTTCTTTGATATTTTCCTAGGACACACACTGCATTCTCTTTGCACTCTCTCTCATGTCTTCTCTGGCAAACTTGTGCGCACTATATTTTCTTCCCCTTACCCTTTCATCACTTCTTCCCTTTCGTATTTCCATTCTTCATTGGTAGGTTTACTCTTGCCTTGGTCAAGCTATTGGTTTCGTCTCACTCTCTCTCAAGTTCTATTAAAAATTGATATAGAAATGAGATTTTTTATATCAATTTTTAAATTGATCTTAATTATCTTACATTTTTTTTATGTCATCTTAATCTACATCGTTTCTAAAATTGATATAAAATATTTTAAAAATTTGATGTAAAATATATAGTAGCACTACTACTTTTTAGTTCTTTAGTAACATTTTTCTTACATTTATTAAAATGTTACTATATATTAAATAAATAGTTTATTTTGTTAATTTTTTTTTTAAAAAATGTTACTATAGATAAAGTAATATTTTTTATTTCAATATTATTATTTTTAATTAATTTTAAAATCAAAGTTCTATATCGAGTAAAAAAATATTAGATAATTTATTTTGCAACATTTTTGTTTTGAAAAATGTTACTACATATAAGTAACATTTTTTTAATCTCAATATTATCCTTTTTAATTGCTTATAAAATATATTTTTCTCATCTCTAATTGTCATCCATAATTAAAGTTCCATATCAAATAAATGAATGATTCATAAAGAATATATATATAATCATATAGTTATACTTAAGATAAATGAACTATGATATTTGATATATATATAATTAGTGGTGACTAATTAATAATTTATTCAACCTTCTAATTTTATGTGACATTTTTTACTTTCTACTCGATGTGAGACTTGTAAGATGAGTACAAATACTTTTTAATTAGTCAATGTGAGACTTATAAGATAAGAGTTGTCTTCTACTTATACATTCTTTTTAATTTTCTTATTTTTTTTAATTACCTTATTTCTAGATGATGTGAGACTTGTAAGATGAGGGTCGTCTTCTACTTATATATTTTTTTTTAATTTTCTTATTTTTTTAAATTATCTTATCAATAGTCGGTCCTCTCAAGTTTAGGGACTATTGAGTTTGATAATGGTGAGTAATCTCACACCAACTTAGAATAGTAAGTTATAGGTCTAACTTAACTCTACAAAACAAACTTATAAGGTGAAAATTATCATTTATTTATATACTCTTTAATTATCTTATTTCTAGTCGATGTGGGACCAAAGTTTTTCTTAATAAATAATTGTCGCTAATAGTAAATTTTGGTGTGATATAAATACATTTTTAGTGGTTATTATATATTAGTCATTAATACTTTTATTAAATAATAAAATAAATGCAATTAATGTATTGCCGTTAAATAATTATCGGTAATAATGAATTTTGTTGTAGTGCAAACATATATATATATATATATATATATATATATTTTTTCCGACCATTATAAATGTTTTTACCAGCATTTAGAATAATTACTGCTAAATATTTTAGCGACACTGCATACAATGACTAATGTGAAAATGCCAGTAAAAGATTTTGTAGCAATTTTTATTGCCACTAAAAGTCATATTAAATGTCGCCAAAAGTCTATTTTGTTGTAGTGTTGCAAGTTTTATACTTTTCATAACAGTACAGAAGATAGCCATGAGGATGCTACAATTTATATTGCTCATGGAACATTATGATTTTGGATTATTCGCTGAATATATCATGTTCAAGAGAAATATAATTTTGTTGCTTATCTGTCACAAAGGTATGTGTTCCTACTCGAAACAGTTCTGATCTTCTTGGTGACTGATCTTCCAAGTTTGATACATTGATTAAGTCCTTGCTTCAGGTAGAGGGGGAGAGTACCTACAAAGGTACTCTAACGCTCATGTGAGTATTTGGTACAAAGCAATAAATGCTTCAATATTAAATAAACATTATACCTTTTCCTGTCCCATCAAGGTGTATTTATAATGATGTATTTGGGTCTGATGGGCCTTTTTCCTTGGGGAATAGGTAATTATAGTCTCTAAGTCCTAATTTCACCTTAATGTTGGTTTGACGTTGTTATGTATGATTTAATTCTTCTTTAAACAACATGTGGTCCTATTTTCGAGGTGTTGGATACCCTTTCGACTGACCTCTTAGCGAAAGGGGTATTCGACCTAGCTTTTGACCGAATCCCCTTTGAGTTAGCTGAGGCGCTTCAGCCCTCCTTGTATGTGATTCTTCCTCGACCCACACAATACCCGAATGGGGGTGTTTGGCCTTGGTTGAAGGTGCTCTTTGATCCCCCCTCAACTTGCTCAAGGACCGGTTAGGGGGGTTTGCTATGGTCAAATAAAGTCTTCAGAGGTGGCTTTGACGCCCCTTGATCTGAATAAGGGCTGAATAGCGGGGTTTGCTTTCAGTTTAAACAAGGGTTGAACATGGGGGTTTGATTTGACTGAATGGGATCTTCAAAGGTGGATTTTCTCTCATGTACACTGCCCCCTAAGCTTGAGGGCGGGAGACAAAGGGGTTTGTCGAAGATCGAAGGGTTTTCTAAACTTGATTTTTATTTTGTAAGTTAGTCGGGCTGCGCGGCGTGCCTCCTCATTTCTAAGTCGGCAAGGTACGAAATCTAAGAGGTCAGATCATTATTCATTTTCGGGAGTTGTGTCCCCTGGGAACGAATGTGGCCATTCATAAATGTACCGCCCTAGGGTTTCATGCCTCATCATTGGCGTGGGGGGCGTGTTTGTTGGTAGTCCATGCGCATTAATAAGGGGCCTCTTTGTATATGTGGGAGGTGAGTAATATACACATACTACTCAAAGCTTCTACCCCGAACCCTACTTCTCTGAATTCGTTGTTCAAGTACTAGTAAGGTAGGTGTGTGTGTTCGGTCGGGTCTCTTGGGGTAAGCGATAGGAGTTGAGGAGATTGTGTTATCGTTTGGGACTTTGTCCGATGCGCGGAACTCGACTAATTTTCATGAAATCGAGTTGTTGGAGGCAAAGGTGTTAATAATTTAAGTCTATAGAAAGTTTGATTGTGATTAAGATGAGCACGAGTCATTTTTCTTTGATGATTACTTATTGCACATGTAAAGGAAGGTGAGACTTTATAATTAAAGATTTGGAAATTTCTAGAAACGACTAATTTTCATGAAATCGAGTTGTTGGAGGCAAAGGTGTTAATAATTTAAGTCTATAGAAAGTTTGATTGTGATTAAGATGAGCACGAGTCATTTTTCTTTGATGATTACTTATTGCACATGTAAAGGAAGGTGAGACTTTATAATTAAAGATTTGGAAATTTCACTAGTACAAAAGACCCTTTTTACGTCAGGTATTTAAAGCCATTTACGTCAGGAAAGCATCAGACGTCATTACAGGAGACGTAAAATTTACGTCGGGGGTCAAAAATCGACGTAACTTTACGTCGGACATACCCAGGTCCGACGTAAAAAATCGTAAAAATTTAAAAAAAAAAAAAGAAAAACGAATGCAGCAGAACGACCCGTTCTGCTTGGAGAACGGCCCGTACTGCTTGGAGAACGGGCCGTTCTCCAAGCAGAACGGCCCGTTCTGCTTCCCAGAAATCGCTTTTCTTCTGGGTTTTCCTCCCAGAAATCGCTTTTCTTCCCAGAATCGCTTCTCTTCTCTGTTCTCCTCAGGCTTGGCTTCGGCCACTGGTTGTTCCTACTCAAAATATATAAAGAAACACACATAATAAGTTCAAAATACACATTTAGTCGTATGAACGCAAACTGCTTGTTTTTGTCGTATGAACGGAGACTGAATGATAGAAAAATTATAAGGAAGGAAGGACCGAAGGAGTAGGAGGCAGAGGGATTTACACAACGCGCGGGAGAAAGAATTTTTGAAATCTCCAACTAGTACGTAAAGCTTGTTTTAAAGGAGAGATGCGGCTTATTTACGTCGGCCCTATAAGGGTCCGACGTAAATTTTAACATCTAC